TCTGGGAGTTGTAGTCCACAAGTCATACAAGGGCCAAGTTTGAAGACCCCTGCATTTCAGACAAGTGACTGTCTAGTGACTAGTCTCTTCTTAAAAATCTCCAGTGGGCTTGACGTCCTCGCTGAGAATTCACTCCAAAGACAGCTGGTAAAGAGGTGCAGTTGAGGTGGATTTATCCTACAAGGCAGGTTTTCTCAACCTTAGCAAGTTTAAAGATGTGTGGATTTTGTCTATGGAGATTCTCCGTCCTCCAGGTCATGGTTGTCCCAAAGGTGCCTTTTTTCAGAAGGCAACTGGACTTTCTTTTTTTTCTTTGAAGACTTTTCACCTCTCCTCCAAGAAGCTTCTTTAGCTCTGACTGGATGGTGGGGAGTGGAAGGATTTATACTCCTTGCAGCCAGTTGGTCATTTGCATTCTTTTAGAGGGTCATTGAGGCCACTTGGAGGATTATCTGTGTCTTCAGGGTGACCTGACTAGTGAAAATGAGTGTGCTGAAATCCAGTTCCAAGAAGGCTCCACACCCATTTCCACCACTCAGATGACACCGAGGACATAGGTAAACCTCCAGGTGGCCTCAATGACTCTCTAAAAGGATGCAAATGACCAGTTTTTCTGCAAGAAGTATAAATCCTTCCATTCCCCACCATCCAGTCAGAGCTTGAAGAAACTTCTGGGATGAGAAGCGAAACATCTTCAGAGAAAAACAAGAAAGTCCAGTTGCCTCCTGAAAAAAAGCACCTTTGGGATGTGTGGACTTTAAACTCCCAGAATTCTGGCATTTACATCCGGACAACTTAAACTTGCACAGCTTGGGAAACACTGGTATATAGGTAGCCCTCAATTTACAACCACAATTTAGCCCCAAATTTCCAATGCTAAGCAAAGGAGTTGTTCAGTGAGTTGTGCCTCATTTTATGACCTTTTTACCACAGTTGTTAAATGAATCCTTGCAGTTTGTTAAGTGAATCATGCGGTCATTAAGCAAATCAGGCATTCCCTGTTAACTTTGCTTGTCAGACAGCCACAAAGGGTGGTTATGTAGTCCCGGGCCACTGCGACCGTCATAAATACGAGTCGGTTGCCAAGCATCTGAAATTGGATCGTAGTGACCATGGGGATGCTGCATTGGTCGTAAGTGCGAAAAATGGTCATATAAGTCTCTGTTTTCAGTTCCGTTGTAACTAAAGAAATGGCTGTAAATCAAGGACTACTTTTGAAAGAATGCTGCTGTCCTTGTGTGTATTTTAACTCGTGACAACAATTGTATCCTTGTTCTTTAGGAATGTTTGAATAAATCACATGCATCAGATTTATTTCCTTTTACTGTATTTGCTGGCATCACTGTTATTTGGACTGGAGCAGCTCGGTGTTTGGTTTTTTGGGGGTTTTTTTTTACACTGAGTTAGCTTTTGCTTTCCTTGAATTGGTTTTGCTAAAATTGAGAAACACTGGATTAAGGTGCTGAAGCAAAAGTCAGAGACTTATTCATTTATTTATTTCTTTGTTTGTTTGTTTTTACAAATAACTCCAGGCAGTAAACATATCCAACACACTTTCTTCCCCCTATTTATCCCACAGCTAGAAACTTGTGAGGCGAGCAGGGCTGAAAGAGAGAGAGGGAGACTGGCCCAAAGTCACACAGCTGGCTTTCATGGCTAAGGCAGGACTAGAACTCACCGTCTCCTGGTGATTGGCCCAAAGATACCCAGCCAGCTTTCATTCCTAAGACAGGACTAGAACTCAAAGTCTCCTGCTGATTGGCCCAAAATCACCCAGCTGGATTTCACCACTAAGGCGGGACTAGAACTCACTGTCTCCTGGTGCTTGGCCCAAAGTCACCCAGCTGGCTTTCATGCCTAAGGCGGGACTAGAACTCACTGTCTCCTGGTGATTGGCCCAAAATCACCCAGCTGGATTTCACCACTAAGGCGGGACTAGAACTCACTGTCTCCTGGTGATTGGCCCAAAGTCACCCAGCTGGCTTTCATGCCTAAGGCGGGACTAGAACTCACTGTCTCCTGATGATTGGCCCAAAGTCACCCAGTTGGATTTCACCACTAAGGCGGGATTAGAACTCACTGTCTCCTGGTGATTGGCCAAAGTCACCCAGCTGGCTTACATGCCTAAGGCAGGACCAGAACTCACTGTCTCCTGGTGTTGACCCAAAGTCACCCAGCCAGATTTCACCACTAAGGCGGGACTCGAACTCACCATCTCCCACTTTCTAGCCTGGTGTCCTAACCACTAGACCAAAGTGGGTTAGGGTTAGTCCAGTGGTTCTCAACCTTTTTAATGCCGCGACCCCCAACCAGTCGTAAGTCGAGGACTAAACTGGTCGTAAGTCGAGGACTAAACCGGTCGTAAGTCGAGGACTACCCAACCGGTCGTAAGTCGAGGACTTTCCCTGCCCGGGAGCGCCGCGCATGCATGGTTCCGCCCCCTGCACCGGCCGAGGCGTAGCTGGCAAGCGGCAGAGACGGAGCAGGCCGACCACCAGCTGGCCCAGCTCAAGGGAGGTAAGGCACCCGCCGGAAAAGGGGAAAAAAATGGCGGACAGCCTTGCTTGGCGACCCCCGTGAAATGGTCAATTGACCCCAAATGGGGTCGCGACCCATAGGTTGAGAACCGCTGGGTTAGTCCTTCCTTGGACATGGAAACCAAAGGGATCCTCTTGAATGAATCAACTGTTTCTCAGCCCTGATCAGTGACCCTGCAACAATGCCAGTTAAAAGAAAAAACTTCTTTCACATCCTGGATGGATAACTTTGCTGGGTGGATGAGATGAGCACGGGGCAAAAAGCAACGAGGCAGTTTGGCCTAGTAGTTATTCTGGAAGGAATTCCTCCAGTGCTCACTGAAGTAATTAATTATTGCAGTGAGCCTTTTAATTATTGGTTTTGGGGCCCGGCATTTGATTCCACGAGGTATGAAGAGAAACTTAAGGGAGAAAAGATTTCGTAATCTGACTTGGTCTCTCCAGACGTCATCCTTAGTGAAGCGTGCAAACCAGCGTCTGCATTTCCTGCATTGGGTGAGGAGAGCACCTCTGAGCACATAACAAACTGCATCACTGTCTGGTTTGATGGTAGCAGAGCCTCAGATGGAAGGTCCACACAGAGAGTGGTAAGGACAGCCGAGAAGATTATAGGAAGCTCATTTCCCGTGATTCAGGATACGGCTTACAAGCGCTTATATATGCTTAGAGCTCGGAGCATTGTTAGAGACACTCCCCCCACATACACACTTCATTATCTGTTTCTGTTTCTCCCCTTTGGGAGGAGGTTTTGAAGTATTTATAGCAGGACTACCAGATTCTGTAACAGCTTTATTCCCTAAGCCAGGGGTCCTCAACCCCTGGTCCATGGACCAGTACTGGGCCGTGGCATGCCAGCAACTGGTCCACACAAACAAGCAAAGCCCCATCCGCGAGATGTGGGCAGCACACAAAACCACGCACCCTCTGGTCCACCGAAAAACCTCTCTTCACAGCACCGGTCCCTGGTGTCCAAAAGGTTTTTCTCGCCATGTACATGTCTACATCCGAACTAGACTGTGTTGTTCTCTGTGTCATGGAATATATGTGGGTATATGCACTTTTTTTGTCATATTTATATTGGAGATGGTATATGCAACAAAATTCCATTTTAATGTATGCCGATTAGTGTACATTTAAAGTAACAATAAATTTATTATAAGTTTTAATCTTGAAGGGAACATGAGACAGAAACTCAAAATAACCTCATCTCGACTTTGCTTACTATAAGAGGAGCAGAGAGAAATTTATGCAGGTTTTGGGGATTCTGTTACTATATCCGACCTACAACAATAATGTAGTACAGGAAGACCATGACTTACATTTCGATTGCTAAGTGAGACGGTTGCGAAGTGAGTTTTGCTCCATTTTACAACGTTTCTTGCCACCATTGTTAAGTGAATCATTGCAGTTGTTAAGTTAGTGACATGGTTACTAAGTGAATCTGGATTTCCCCCATGGACTTTGCTTGTCAGAAGGTCATAAAAGGGAATTACAAGATCCCGGGACGCTGCCACCGTCATAAATATGAGTCAGTTGCCAAGTGTCTGAATTTTCATCGCATGACCGTGGGGATGTGGCAATGGTCGTAAGTGTGCAAAACGGTCATAACTCACTTTTTTCGGTGTCGTTGTAATGTCAAATGGTCACTAAATGAATGATTGTAAACCAAAGACTACTTGTATCTCTGAAAATCCCTGCGGTGTATGTTTGATGATGTGGATCAGGGGTGTTCAAACTTGGCCCTTTTATGACTCGCGGACTTCAACTCCCAGAATTCCTGAGCCAGCAATGGGGGAACTATGGCCCCTTCATGACTTGTGGACTTCAACTCCCAGAATTCCTCAGCCAGCATGGCTCAGCTTGGAAACCTCTCACTTTCTCCTCAGCATGGCTGGCTCAGGAATTCTGGGAGTTGAAGGTTGCCTACCCCTGGTCTAGCTATTCCTATTCTCTCAACCATGGCAACTTCAATATGGGTAAACCTCAACTCCCAGAATTCCCCAGCCACCAAAACCCAATTGTTCCCCAAAGGCCTCAAACTCCAGATGTGGAGCAAAGTTTAGAGGTCCTAAGACTGCATACACTCAGCAAGCATCTGGAATGATCCTCAGCCTTACGTAGCCCAGTGCTAGGAAAGCTACCCAAGAGCCCAGGGGTCTTCAAACTTGGCCCTTTGATGACTTGTGGACTTCAACTCCCAGAATTCCTCAGTCAGCGTGCCTGGCTGAGGAATTCTGGGAGTTGAAGTCCACAAGTCATCAAAGGGTCAAGTTTGAAGACCCCCTGCAACAGCCCTTCTTGATCTAATGGGTTGTGAGCTGACCCGATGGTGGTTACCTTGTTTTTGAACATCTTCTTGAGTAACCGAAACTTCGCTTTCGGAAAAAGACCTTGCATTGAGACCTTTCTCCAGAACATTGGAAACCGAAGATACAGGTAGAACTACGTCAGGTCTTCTAGGTCTTACGAGCCCCGGCGAAAGGTGCCCGGTTTGACCTGGTGGCTAAAGAACCTCCATAGTAAAATGCTGAGGGCATCACTACACCTCGCCACATCTTCCAAAGTCTTCATCACGCAGAGCATCACGCTGGATTGGCGGGAGGCCACAGCTTCTGCCTGGGCGATTCGGATCATCAATTCGATGTTTTCAGAATAGTTGGGCACCCGGGCAAGAAACTGCTTCCTCGCCACCAGCTCACCAAAGATTTGAGGGGATTCTTCCAGTTGTTTGATCAAAGGCTTGAGGTCATAGTAGACGGCTTCCTTGTAAACCTCCTCAACGTTTTGCAAGGGGACGCGATCACCACGCAGATACTCCAGGATGTATTTAAAGTAAGTTCCAGGCCGGTCTATGAAGATTCGGCCCGCTGAATCTCTTCGGGGCTTGGCCTGGCCAAATATTTCAGCCAGTTTGGAGCCTGGGTGCTTCTTCAAAGTGTTCAGCGTGGTGGTGAAGATCTCTCCACCAACGTTCAACTCAATGATCTGGCACTGCTGATGAGAAAAGGAAGGTGAACATAGGCCGCATCTCAGTTTTGAGAAGGGAAAGAGCAGGGACAGCCTCAAAGATTGAATTAAAATAGCATTTCAATCAATCATGCATTGTTCTAAAGCAGTTCTCCTTGGTTCTTCTAGCACAGGGTTCTTCAAACTTGGCCCTTTTATGACTTGTGGACTTCAACTCCCAGAATTCCTCAGCCAGGCACGCTGGCTGAGGAATTCTGGGAATTGAAGTCTACACCTCTTAAAATGGCCGAGGTTGAGAAACACCAGTTTAGCTCTTTCTGAGTTGGCATTATTTCCCCCTCACATTATGTCAGGGGTCTTCAAACTTGGCTCTTTTTTTTATGACTTGTGGACTTCAACTCCCAGAATTCCTCAGCCAGGCACGCTGGCTAGGGAATTCTGGGAGTTGAAGTCCACACCTCTTAAAATGGCTGAGAAACACCAGTTTAGCTCTTTCTGAGTTAGCATTATTTCCCCCTCACATTATGTCAGGGGTCTTCAAACCTGGCCCTTTTATGACTTGTGGACTTCAACTCCCAGAATTCCTCAGCCAGGCCTAACCCTTCTTTGTCAAATAAGACACAATTTACTGGATTGCCGTGACATGCGTATCAACCTATAGTTCAGAAACACACACCGAGAAGCTATAATGGAGTTAGTTTGCTTCTTTGGGGCTTAGTGTGAATTATACCACTAACCTTGCTTTTATAATATCCTGGTTTAGGATGCTGCGTCAATCTATACACGTATATGCAGACTGTTGCATATAGATCATATCAGTTTCTTTGCCTACCCTCCCTTTCATGAAGAACTGAGTTTGCCTGGTTTTGAGTTAGGCCATACGGAATCTAGGTCTGTCTTGTAAACCACAGTTTATGGCTTGATGCAGTGTTTGTCAACTTCAGCAACTTTAAGGTGGGTGGACTTAACAGAATAACAGAGTTGGAAGGGATCTTGGAGATCTTCTATCCAACCCCTATTCAAGCAAGAAACCCTATACCATTTCAGATAAATGGCTGTCCAATCTCTTCTTAAAAACCTTCAGCGTTGGAGCATCCACCGCTTCTGGAGGCAGGTTGTTCCACTGATTGTTCTAGCTGTCAGGACATTTCTCCTCAGTTCTAGGTTGCTTCTCTCTTTGATTAGTGTCCATTCATTGCTTTTTGTCCTGCCTTCATCTGGTTTAGAGAATAGCTTGACTCCCTCTTCTTTGGGGCAGCCCCTCAAATATTGGGACACTGCTATCATGTCACCCCTAGTCCTTCTTTTCATTAAACTAGACATACCCAATTCCTGAAACCGTTCTTCATGTGTTTTAGCCTTTAGTCCCTTAATCATCTCTGTTGCTCTTCTCTGCACTCTTTCCAGAGTCTTCTTCACATTTTTATTAGTTTATCAAAATATAAACTACAAAGAGAAATTCAAAAAAGTAATAGAAAACTAGGAGGAGGGGGAAGGAAAAAGAAACAAAAACATGGTGTAAAGAGGGAAAAGGAAAGAAAAAGACACCCATTTCAACTCTCTTTAGCGCAGTAGAAGACAACATTATAACCTCAATTAATTTTAATTTTACACAACAGTATATACTAGCCATTTCTATAGCAACAAACTCTTTCCAGTAACTCAACATCATTTTTATATTGTGGCGACCAAAACTGAACGCAGGATTCCCAGTGTGGCCTTACCAAGGCGTTATAAAGTGGTATTATTAACACTTTGTAGCGTGCTGACTGGGGAATTCTGGGATTTGAAGTCCACCCGTCTTCAAGTTGCTGCGGTGGACAAATCCTTTTCTCAGCGTGTGGCGTGCTCTCAGTCCACTGACTCCATAATGTGCAGACCAAACAAAGGCTCCACTGAAGCACAGCTGCAGATTCTACAGACCCACAAAACTGTTTTGCACTTTTCCTCGCGGCATCTGCTCCTCAAACTTAGCCTACCTACCATCTGCTCCTCAAAGGCGGCAAAATTTGCCAGAGAGGGGATTAAACTCATTGCCTTCCTCCTTTTGCTACCTCCCCTCATGCTTACCGTTGGCGAGCTGGCCAAACTTTGTTTTCCAAGGGTCTTAGGCTCTGGAGAATTACTCATTTTTTCCTCCTCCAGCACTGGAGATCCAGAGGTCTAGCAGTTAGCGGCTGGTGAGTTATTGTTGAGAACGGATTAGCTAACCGGTCTTCCTTTCCAGCTTCTTGTCACCACACTGCAGCACACCAATGTCCATTCACGCCCCGATGCACACTAGACACTCCTTCCAGGTGAAAACAGCGTAACCCGAGCACCTGTAGGCGGACGTTTTGCGTTCGGGACACCTGCAGAGGTGGCACTGCCCCCTGAAGTAGGAGGAGCTTTCCCTAGCCAGCATTTTCCAAATTCCTGCCTCCGGGCAGACACGTCAAAGATGGCTAAATCAGTTCTTCCTCATCTCTTTCTCGCCTTCGGCAAACAGTCTGACCAAACAGGCATCGCCTTCAGCTCTTTTCAGTTCTCAGCTGATTCTGAATTCTTCTATCTGGCTGAAGATAGCCAATCCTATCGCCTGAATTTGAACAAATCAGTCCTGAATTCCTAGTTTTGTAAGATCGACTTATTCTTCCAAAGCACCCGAGGGCAGGACAAGAAGCAACGGATGGAAACACATGAAGGAGAGAAGCAACCTGGAACTAAGGAGAAACTTCCTGACAGTCAGGACAAACTTACTGAGGAGAGATCAAGCCAAGATTAAGGACAAATTTCCTGATAGTGAGAACAATTAATCAGTGGAATGGCGTGCCTCCAGAAATATAGTATAGGGGGTACCTTGCTCAATAGTAGCAACTGTGAGAGGGACCTCGGAGTCCTAGTGGACAATCACTTAAGAATGAGCCAACTGTGTGCTGCAGCTGCCCAAAAAGCCAACACAGTGCTGGGCTGCATTAACAGAGGGATAGAATCAAGATCACGTGACGTGTTAATACCACTTTACAAGGCGTTGGTAAGGCCACACTTGGAATACGGCATCCAGTTTTGGTCACCACAGTGTAAAAAATATGTTGAGACTCTAGAAAGAGGGCAGAGAAGAGCAACAAAGATTATTAGGGGACTGGAGGCTAAAGCATATAAGGAATGGTTGCTGGAATTGGGTATGTCTAGTTTAATGAAGAGAAGGACGAGGGGGGACATGATAGCAGTGTTCCAGTATCTCAGGGATTGCCCCAAAGAAGAGGGAGTCAAGCTATTTTCCAAGGTGCCTGAAGGCAGGACAAGAAGCAACAGATGGAAACTAATCAAGGAGAGAAGCAACCTAGAACTAATGAGAAACTTCCTGACAGTGAGAACAATTAACCAGTGGAACCACCTGCCTCCAGAAGCGGTGGATGCTCCAACACTGGATGTTTTTAAGAAGAGACTGGACAGCCACTTGTCTGAAATGGTATAGGGCAGTGGTGGCGAACCTATGGCACGGGTGCCAGAGGCGGCACTCAGAGCCCTCTCTGTGGGCACGCGCGCCGTCGCCCCAGTCCTAGGCCTTCAGCTGGGTTTTATAAAACCTTTTCGCTTTAGGCCTCCGCCAACGTGTGCAAAAAAAAAAAAAAAAGGTTCAATCAGTCAATTTCAACTTCTCGTGGGAAAAAAAAAGATCTTGGCAAAGTTGGAATTGATTGGTTGAACTTTTTAGTTCAGCCACGCCCACCCAAGGGGCCACACCCAGCCAATGGGCCACACCCACCCGGCACCCGACAATGCATAAGTGGGTTTTGGGTGGCAGTTTGGGCACTCGGTCTCTAAAAGGTTCGCCATCACTGGTATAGGGTCTCCTGCTTGAGCAAGGGGTTGGACTAGATGACCTCCAAGGTCCCTTCCAACTCTGTTATTCTGTTATTTGTCTTTCTGCTAAAGGAGGACGCTGTGAAAACCTCAAGGAATACCCTCTCACCCCATAGGGCAGGTTTGGGGTGTAAGTCCTAGTACTTTAGGCCAGGTGCAAAAAGAATTCGGAAAGAAATAATAGCAATAACGTTCTGTAAAGTCACCAGGAAGCCAAACAGGATCTGAAGGAGATTTTTCTCTACAAGAAAAAAATAACAATCCTGTAGATATTTCGCAAGTGGGCAAAACACTGAATCAGGAGAAGAACCAAAGAAATGAAGCAATACCTAGAACGAAGTTTACTTATCTTGTTTTATTCACAATAAGTGCCTCAGTTCAGTTACATACAAAAAAA